CCCATGTTGGGTGTAGAGATGACATAAACAAGCAAACAAACAGATAAACAAATAAACAAGCTTAAAAATATCTCATAATGGGATAATTCTTTTTTAAAAAGTACAAGTTCTTTGACTAAACAATCCCACTGCTCAGAATTTATCCTAGACTTTACATGTATGAGACAGTGAAATAGCATGTGCTCACAGTTCTTCCTAATACCATTATTTGTTATAGAAAAGTATTGGAGAAAAAAAATTTAATATTTGTGTTTTTGAGGCTGGTAAAATGAACTATGGAATATCAGTACAATAAAAACTAAGCACATATATAAAATAATGAAGAAGGTCATCATGTATTTCTATGGAAAGATTGCAGTGTGTGAAATAATCTATAATTTATGAAAAAAGGGGAGAGTGAAAAATATATGCCCATATTTATATCTGCATATATGCTAAAATCTCTGGAAACATACCCAAGAAAGTAATCATACTACTTACCTATTTGGATGTGTTTGTGAACTGGCCAATGGTAGAAGGGACACTTTTTACTTTTATACTTTCTGGGTTTTAAAACATTTAAGTATATAATATTTCAAAAATTAAATGTAGTAATTAACTTTTAGAGAGACTATTTGTTTGGAAATCTGTTTTCTCCACCTCCTTGTTCATTTCCACAGTTTCATTACGTCGCTGAGCGCACCGCGCCCAGCGCCTGCTCAACCGGTGCGTACTAAAGAAACACGGAGCAATAAAATGCTGGAGATTGAACTTCCTTGAAGGAAGGGCAAACATCCTGCCTTAGTTTCCAGAGTTCTTTATGCGATGAGAGTGAGTGACATTTTGTGAAAAGGACAGAAGAACAGCAACAAAGTGACCAAGAAGGAAATGGATTTCAATGCAAAAACCTTAGTCCTAGATGCCGTTTGTTTTCTAATTCTTTCCAGAGCTTGCCTGCCAAGGTTGGGATGGGTGGAGTGAGGAAGAAAACCTCAAAATGAACTTTGAAGAGAGAGAGAGAGAGATGGAAACAGAAAGAGAAACTCCAGCAAAGTTTAGAGGGGAGCATCTGTTCCTACCTCTTAAGAATCAAGTCGGCTGTGATTGTTCTCAGTGTCAGGGAAACTATTTCATTTGTGAACACCTGTCTTTTAAATGGTCGTGATTGGAAAATTTTTACTTCTCTTTTCTTATGTTTGTTTGATATTGTTTTCCAAGTGCTCTTTCCTTCTCCCAGGTTCACAGTAGTCAGCCCCAGCCTGCACATGTCCAGTGTAAGAATGAGTGATACACAGGTTAGAGCCTATAAGCTTAGAGCATGGGTTCTTAATCTTGGCTGTATAGTGGAATCACCAAGGAACTGTACCTCCCAGAGAGTCTGGTTGAATTGGTTTGCAGAATGGCATAGGCATGAGAATTTTTTAAAATCTCCCCCACATGATTTCTAATATGCAGTAAAGTTTAAGAGCTACTGATTGATAGCATGCTCCAGCCTTCCTATAAACTATCTCAAAATCAAATTAATATGAAATTTATTATTTTGAGTAATTAATTTTTATAATGCAGACTGTGAAAAGAAAATGTCATATCCATTTTCCTTCTTCTTAAGGGTAGCCAAGGATTCACTACCTTTATCTTCTCAGTACAGGAGCTACATATTGTAACAAGCCCCTACTTGCTTCATATTAACGATGACAAGTAGTGGCAATACCAAAGGATAGCTTTGTGGGTCTTTAGGTGATGACTGTCTCCATCACCACAAGTTTCCCCAGAGTGACTTAGGAAAGACTGTTGGGTATGCTCTCAGATTATTCACCTGTGTTTGCTCAATAACAGTGGTGTGGCTGTAATGGCAACAAAATTGGAAACAGTTCAGATGCCCAAGTCAGAAGAATACGCTAAGTAATTTACTTTATATCACACACACACACACACACACACACCACGAAACATACATACACAGTGTGTGCATGTGTGCAATAAAAAAATAGTGAACTGTGACTATATGTCATATGTACATATGTCATACTGCATATGTAACAATATGCAGTAACCTCGGTGATGTCAATCAGTATCAAGTGCAATAATCAATTCTCAGAAGGCCACATATAGCTTTGCGCCCTTTGAATAATTTTGCAAATTCAATAAAGCTAAGTAACCCACTGTTTAGACATAGATGTATCATAAAGCCATGGGGAAGAAAGCTACTGGTAAAAGGAAAGATAAGCAGAGAATTCAGTACGGTAATCACCGTCAGGGAGGGAGGAGAGAATGAGAGAAGGCAAAGCACACAGGCAGATGTGAGTCACTGTCAATGGACCAGTCCTTGGACTGGATGGTGAGTTTGTGGTTGCCTGTCATGTTTTTACCAAGGGCATTCAACACTAACCACACGAGGAAGAAGAGTGGCGACTTCTCCGCAATAGCATCATTTAGGATTTGTTTGATAAAGAATGGTGTGTGTTTATGTGAGCTCTTACTTTATGTGATTATTGACTTCTAAATAAAAATTTATATTGATGGTAGGGTTGATGTACTAATTGTTTTTGTTTCCAACTAACACACTCGCTGAGACTGAAATTGTAATCAATTGAAAATGAAATGTTTTCAACTTTGCAATCTGAAAAATCACTTTGATGATGAGTCAGTGACATGAGAGGCAATTTCCTGGAAAAGCTTTGAATTGTGGAATTCTCTAGAAGTCTAAGGGAAACTGAAGTACATCTTCATGAGCAACTATATAGTGAAATATGATTCTTTCTCCCCATCCTGACTTCTTTGTGGTCTGATTCCCTCACTTGCTTATCTTCTCTAAAAGAAATAGGATAAAAGTAATAACCATGTACCCTTATATAGAAGAGCTTAGTTTTATCTCACATATTTATCTTAACAACCCTGTGAAGTATGCAGGACAAAGCCTAGCTTGAAACAAAACTATAGATGGTTCTTACAATATAAAATATTTGTTCCAAAGCACACCAGTGGTTGAACACAAGACACACTTGAAAGTATGTGTACATTGTTTAATATTAATATTCATGTGTAAAATTTTAATATTTGCATATTGCTTTTCATTTATATTGATCTAAATCCTTATGGCAAATAATTTTTTTGCTTACAGTTGTGGTATATAGTTGCCCTCTTCTATTTTAATTTTTTTATGTTTATTTATTTATTTTTGAGAGAGAGTACACAAAAGGGGAGAGGCAGAGAGATAGGAAGAGGGAGAATCCCAAGCAGGCTCTGCATTGACAGTGTGGAGCTTGATGTGGGGCTCAATCTCACAAACTGTGAGACCATGACCTTAGCCAAAATCAAGAGTTGGACATTTATGTGACTGAGCCATCCAAGCAACCCCTAAAGTTGCCTTTTTAAATAAACATTTTAGAGGCACCTGGGTGGCTTAGTCAGTTAAGCATCTTACTCTTGGTTTTGGCTCAAGTCATGATCTCACAGTTTGTGAGTTCCAGCCCTACACAGAGTTCTGTGCTGACAGTGTGGAGCCTGCTTGGGATTCTCACTCTCCTTCTCTCTCTGCCCCTCCCCCTCTCTGTCTCTGTCTCTCTAAACAAATAAATAGACAGATAAATAAATAAATAAAATTATTTTAATAATAATGGTTTTATTTTAAGAGAACTCTTAAGCAGATAGTAATAGCACAGGTGTTACTCAGGACTGACAAACGTTAGGAAGATGATATGTGAATAACTGAAATGTAGAAAACCCCATCCTGGCATATAATAATATCTGTTAATATTCATATCAAAAAGGGGAAACATACATGTTTCTCTGTCGACCTACAACTAAATTAACTTGACAACCTACCTGTTGACGGGGTAATTACCGTTTTCCTACGTTCTACTTTGAGGACTTAGATACTAGAGAAATAACAGTGAAAATATTAATTAATTAAAAAGAAAAGAAGTCTTGTTAAAAAGTCTGAAGTCCATCTCCTCCTAGAACTAACAGTCAACGGAAAGGTGAGCAGGTAATGTGTGTGTCGACAGAGGTCATGTGTGTGTCCATTGCCTGGATAGCAGCACAGGCTTCCTGCAGGGGCTGCCATCTAAACTGAAGAATGCGAACGAAGGCACCAGGGGCAGCATGTTCAGGGACCACGAGATGTCACATACAAATACCTGGAGGAGAGAGAGCATGAGGCATTCAGTGGGCTCCAAGCAGATTGGAACGGCAAGATTCAAACTAGGGAAGGAATTAAGGGTGCCAAGAAACAAGGCTGTGGAGAAAAAATGCAAATAAGAGACCAGGAAGGGATTGTTGTCTCTGCAGATCAGAGTCATGCTGGCAAGCCACAGAAATAGACCCAGGATCACATAAAAAGGAAAGATTTTTCGGAAAACTATCAGATATAGGCACTGTGTTGTTCCCTACCGACAGCACACACTGGTGGGTTTCCCAAAATAAAATAGGGGATCAGCTGTAGATGTAAAAGAACTAAGATGGGAAAAAAGAGAATAAAACAAAAACACATTCTGAAGAACTTGGATTTCATTGCGTAGCCAACCAGAAGTCACAAAAGGGATCGACACGTTCCAATTTGTATTATTTCTCTAAAGACGAAGTTGAAGGTAGGGAGAGGAGATTGAGGGCTGCTGCGTGGCATAACTGAGAGAAGAACGGGACCTCAGTACACACAGCGCTAGTGGGTGAGGAGGAGAACAGGAAAGAACAGATTTCTCAACCAGGATTGATCAGAATGGCGACAGAGAACTGGTGCTCTCCCATGCTCTGCCGACTACGGGCATGGATTTCTGGATACTTCAAAAAGTTGTGGCTTCAGTGGCTTGCCTTTTGTGAAGGGGAAGAAGGAAAATCAAAGATGAGGATGGATTTTGAGAGTGGGGTGTTAGCTGCTGCATCCTCCTGAATATCCCCCAAACAGTCCCCAAATATCCCCAAATATCCCCAAATATGCCCGGTTTTTTGTTTTTTTTTTTTTTTGAAAATATGCAATCTTTTATAAGCTGCACACATTTCAACAAAAAAGTTGGGGACACAGATTTAGTTATGTAGATTTTTGAAAACATTTATTGCAAGGAGGTTCCCTTTCCCGTATTAGAAGGAAAACATGACTGGAAATATTCCACGAATGGAAAGTACGTTAAACCAATTCCCAAGTCCTTAACAAATAAGGGATCCATAAAAGAGAGTGTATTTTGGAACTTAAAATTAGGGAAGCCTTTGCACAATGTAGACGGGGAAAGAGAAAACAGAACAAAGTCAGAATGATCATTTACATTTTACAGTCTTTAATTAAGCACATAAAACTGTACTATTTAATATATTTTTCCATGAACTTTTTGTGAAATTCAGATCGCAGTGTATCATTTACAAATCTTTTGTCTTTCTTCTGATCATCTACACCTTTTGCACAGTTCTTGAAAACAACATCATCATCCCACCTTCTTTTAACTTTGAAGTTGGCCTGAGGCTGGGATGGGCCAGTGAGATTAAGGAGAGGGTTTCCACTCAAAATGTTTTCCATACGTATTCTTTCTTCTTCAGCTTTTTGTTCTTGTTCCTTCCTGGCCTGCTCTTCAGCTCTTTCTTTTTTGATTTTTTCTAGTTCTGCAAGAAGAGCTGCAGTGTCATCATCATCACTCTCCTCTTCAAAATCTTCATCTTCATCTTCCTCATCTGTTAGAGTATCATCTGCATCAAGGTTGGCAGCAGGAATCTGGTCTAACCGAGGTTTCTTTGACACTGACGAGGAGGTTGTATGTTCTCGTGTTGGACGATCTCTGTTTTTTTCTCTTGCAGCAGCTCGCTCTCTCTCCTCCAGCTCTCTCCTGAAGTCACGGTTGCGAACCTCTTCAGGGGCATCCTGAGTGGTTTGTCTATATTTTATCTTTGTATGCGAAGGTAGGTCTCTACTTGAATACTGTTTTGAGAGCTGACTCAAATCACCTTCTCCTTTTCCTCTCCCACCTCTTGCAGGCTCAAATGTTGGTCTAGCTGCTGTCGTCATCTTTTACGCTCCCAGAAGCCTCTGCGCCCAGGGCCAGGGCCCAAGACCCGGAAGCAAACCCAGTAGAAGCCCGTCTGTTTTATTTCCCAACATCTCCTATATGGCCATGATGCCTAACCTTGACTGTCCCTCATAATGGGATGTAAATTTATTAACACCCTTTAGTCGCTTGCCTGCAACTATATATCTTGGCTGCCTTCCAAGTCTTTAATTCCTTTATTGATGCAATTCATGATGGTTGTTGCTTCTGTTTAAAAGCTTCTTGCAGTCTCTGAGTTTTTGAAGTACTATCTGTTTCTCTCATCCACGCTTCGTTAAAAATTGATTTTCTCAGCTTCTCACGTATTTCTTTATGAGACAAAGAATTTTAGATAAATGCCACAACCTAAGCACCAGAGGTAAAGATGGAGGACAATCAAGACCTGAGTAATGTTATTTTAATTGCAATTTAAAGCCAAAAGGCAAAGACTTAGTAAAGAGCTGTTTTCATTACAGTTGTTCCATGCATGAAATGAACCATTACACACTGGAAAAGAAGAAATCATTCCAGAGTGGCTTAGTTATAACAAACAAAATGAGTTCCAACAAGCTGTTTTTAGTCCCCTGGCCAAAAAATGCATTCTGTTGGTATTTAGGATTTTTTTTTCCTAATGTGGCATTATATTTTGAAATGTTATTTCATGTCATACTTTCTTTGTATAACATATTTGCATTGAATAGTGAGAGAAATGACCAGCTGGTCTCTAGCAGTTACAAAGCCCTTTATTGGAGGCAGCAGATGATGGCAGATGGCAATGTTAGGTTCAAGTCTCACTAAGAATAGATTTGCAGTACCTTGTTGATGTAAGATATCCAGCCTTTCTCTGAGTCTCTAAAACTGATGCCAGGGTGGTTTATTGAGATGTTAATTTATATTTGGTTTTCTCCATATTTTTCCTTCTCTCTATTAAAATACTGGGGTTTACAGTATTTGAGTTCCAAGGTCAAAGGCAGAAATAACTCAAAGACAACCCCTCTTGGGGTGTCTGGGTGGCTCAGTCGGTTAAGAGCCTGACTTTGGATCAGGTCATGATCTCACGGCTATGGGTTTGAGCCCCGCATCGGGCTCTGTGCTGACAGCTCAGAGCCTGGATCCTGTTTCAGATTCTCTGTCTCCCTCTCTCTCTGCCCCTCTCCTGCTCATGCTCTATATCTCTCTGTCTCAAAAATAAGTAAACGTTAAAAAAAATTTTTTAAAAAGACAACCCCTCTTATTCACTTATTCTTGAAAGTCTGAATTAAGGAAATGGATGAAAGAGAAAGAGGGGAAAGAAGGTCTTTGGGACTGGAAACCTGGAAGAATTTTCCATAAACCTGATAGGGGAGAGTCTGCAAGCTTGGGAACAGGACGTTAGTACTTCATGGAGTAGCAGAATCGAGCTGACTCCTTTACAGACAATGCAGTGCTCCTTGAGAGGCTCTGTACACCAGACACTAAGGTCGCCACTTCTGTGCCTAGGTTTGTCATGGGTGTAACAGAACCACCCAGATTTAAAGGGACCATAGAGATGCATACTCCTCCGCTTTTTAAACATTATGAAAACTTGAATAATACAATTATTTGTAATCATCATATGGAAGGCAAGAAACTCTACTTTTTGAAGTTTTTTCAGAAACTATCTTAACCATTATTCCCTTGTGTGATCTTGGAAATGGAGAGCCGGGACACCTTCCCCCCAAGGCTCGTACTATACATTTATGACTGGTAGTGAATTTCTCACTGTCTCAATAATTAGAGATTTGGAATCTGGTTAAAATGAAAGGGAGTTATTTCTTGCATTACAGTACAGTACAGTAGATTAAAATGCAAACCCTTCACAAATAATTATGTGAGAAGACAATTCTTTAAGTTAGAATAACATAAAACAGAGGGATTTGGAGATATAATTCAATTTCACTCTGCATTTTAATTATTAAAATAATTATGAGGAATAAGAATAGTAGATAAGCACAGATTGAGGGGGACTGGTAGGGGATGAGATTTTTTTTCTGAGGAGTAGATTCATGTCCTTACCCAGTAATCCACCATTGTTTTACAATGTTTCTAGGAGACTTTTCATTGGTGTCCTGAGTCCTTCATGGAGATGAGGATAAATCCCAGTACATCACAGTCCAGTGTGTCACCACCCTTTACACACCAACATGGCACCTCAGCCTTCTCTTCACATGGCTAATGATCCCAGTTCTATCAGCTTTATCTCCCAAGGTTGAGTTTCAAGAGTTTTATTCTTTACACTCTTTAAAAGCCACTCTTTACACTCTTTCATCAGCCATTTGTTCCAGAGATCATTAAAGGCACTGTGGCATGATGACAAGAACCAGGAAACAGTCATGAAGCTGGATCTAGGCAGGACCTTCATAGGCAGCTAGAGCTCATTCATGTCCAGGCCTTACAGACCCAGGGACAGACTGCTTTTCCCAGGGCTAGTTAATTCCTGAAGATAGTAAAGAACTTCCTTCTGGAGCAAACCCTTCATATACAAATCAACCAGTACTGAGTCTATATCCCTAACTCCCCCACCCCTTTACTTAACTCACACACCAAGCCAATATTCCCCTGCCCTAAATCAGCTCAGGGCCAGGTACCAGACAACTACAGACAGCCCTTATCAAGTTTACCAAGGCTGCCCTGCCTTGCCTTTCCTATGGAAAGCTCAGGAAAGTCTCCTTCCTAGGCTTTTCTTTGCTCCTGTTTCTGCTTCTTGACCAAATCCAGTGCTTCCCTGGTGGCCGTGTGTGATGTGACATGCCTCCTTCTCTTGAGAAATGTAAGGAATAAACTCTACCTTCAATAGCACTGACCTCTCTGTGTCACTGCTCTGTGACTTCCATAAGTTAAAACCCCATGGGCACAAATGAGACAATACTGAAAAATCAGGACAGTAGTAACAATAAGTTGCCACAAAGATGAAAAGACTCAACAACGTGCACATGTGTATAACATCCTATGGAAATCCACTCCATGCACAGTAATTGCTTAATTGATGCCACCTATCATCCACTCCATGCACAGTAATTGCTTAATTTTTGCCGCCTATCATCCACTCCATGCACAGTAAGTGCTTAATTAATGTCGCCTATCTTTTTAAGTAAACTTTAACAAACAATTGTTGAGAACTAAATCTGTTTACCTCACTTCTTCAGTTTCTTCAGCTGTTTAGGGAGTATGATGATAGTACATCAACAACAAAGGAATGTCTTGATGATTAATCTAGACTTCCTGAAAAAACCAATTGAAGTGACTATATTCATGTACAGTATTGCTTTGGAAAATTCCAATAATAATGACTGCATCACAATCTTAAAAACAAAATATGTAGGGGCACCTGAGTGGCTCAGTCAGTTAAGTGTCCGACTTCAGCTCAGGCCATGATCTCGAGGTCTGTGAGTTTGAGCCCTGTGCCGGGCTCTGTGATGACAGCTCAGAGCCTGGAGCCTACTTCAGATTCTGTGTCTCCCTCTCCTCCTGCTCATTCTCTCTCTCTCTCTCTTTCTCTCTCTCTCAGAAGAAATAAATAAACATTTTAAAAAAATTTTTAAAACTATGTTGCTGTTAGGGCAATCTTATTGATCTAGTGATAGCAATACATAAATTCTAAATGACTGGATGATTAAGACCAATTTAAAGATATCATTTTCATCTTCTCTAAGAAGATAAAATATCTTCCACAATGTAGTTCCAACTAGACAGCTTCCCCAGGGGACTCCCAGCTGCTGTTAATTCCCAATCTTCCCTCAGTGGGAAGGGAAAGAGCATGTGGCAAGCATGCCCGCAGTGGGAATGATGGTCGCATCCCCTGCTTTGTTTTTGAGAAGACTCAGCCACATTTCTGAATAATATCCAAATCACTACCATATTTTCTGCATGTTTTCTCATATTTACTATGAACCACAAACATTGGCCTGGGGCACTACACTCAAAAGCTTTTCTTGACTGTATTCTCTGTCTAACCTGGGACCCTGGAGCCCACCCTAGCTTCTGAAATGATCCTGGATCCATGATTTTAAAGTGATGTAAGGCACATGCACAGCAGGGGACTGTAAAAGGATTTACAGATAAAGAAAAGATGTTTCTGCTAAGATAGTAGCAGTGACCCCAAATGTTTCACATTAGCATCAGACACTCATTTATGTGCCCCACAGAAAGGTGGCATGGGTTCTTGAGTACTTCAGCCTGCACCACAAACACCAGGAGGACTTGTTAAATGCACACTGCATGACCTCTGCTTCTGAGAAGATGGAGTAGGCACTTTCCTCTATTCCTTCCACTAAGTGCAACTAAAAACACTGGACATCGTGTGTGTGTGTGTGTGTGTGTGTGTGTGTGTGTATCAAACATAAGACAGTCTCTGAAAGAGACTGACTAGGATCTTGAGGCCCAAGGAAGTACACAGTAAGTTCCCTGAGTTTTCTTTTTTGCCTCGTCTATCCCAGACTTGAGTGAAAGAAACCAGCAACCAGGAAATGCCAATGGGTCTCGGGCCAAAACAACCAAAAACCAAAAGCAAAAAAAAAAAAAAAAGGCAAGATAGAAACTTTTAGAAAATAACAGCCCTACTCCAGCAGAACACCAAAAGCCAAGACCACCCTTTCACCTGGATCTGTGAAGGCTAGTGAGGAACCTAGACTTCCATCCTGGTGAGGTTGTAATGAAATGCCCCAAGTCCCTTGCTGGGATGGTGTTAAAGAAGGCTAGGCATGGAGACAGGGATTTCTTTGCCTCCAGCCAGCAGTGAGCTCCTACCCCATGTCAGTGGAGACCATGTGGGGACCTTTAACTCCATCACAACCACCTAGAAGTAATGAGATACCTTTCTCTCTCCTCACTGAGGTGGTACCAGAGGAGGCCTAGTGGAGAAGAATGACCTTCACCTAGTACCCACTGATAATTCAGCTATCTCACTACAGTATCAGGGGAGACCATGTGAGCTCAAACCTCTCCACACCTGGAACTAGGAGCCCCCCATCACCCCAAGTATGAGTGGAGATCGAGCAGTT